GCCAGGTTGAGGCAGGAAGAACAAGAGAAGGAAGAAGCAAGGTTGTGGCAGGAAGATGGAGAGAAGGAAGATTCCACGCAGAGAAAAAGAAAGCGAAAAGAAGGATCTGACAAGAACAACAAAAGAGATCTAGCAAATGCATTTGAAGAAAGGCTGATGAAGAATGAAGCACATGCAGCAAACATATGCAAGGCAGCGGAGGCAAGGAGGCCTCAATGCTGGGATGATTTACCAGAGTTTGTTTCTGCACGAAAGCAGGCCCCGGCGAAACCCAGGGGCAGAAAGCCAAAAAAGAAAGATGACAATGAAGGCAAAGAAGATGAAGAGGAACCAGAACCACCGAAGAAGCCAAAGAGGAGAACAAAAAAGAGAAAGCAGCCAAAAGCGGAAGATGATGATGATGAAGACGTTCATGAGGAAGAGGCATTGAAGACAAGGGCAAAAGGAAAAGGCAAGGGTGAAGGCGATGATGAAAGTACCAAGAAGAAACGAGCCAAAAGTTCGAAGTGTAAGGATGGCCAGGCTGAAGGAAAGCAAAAGAAGGCAAGGAAAGAGAAAGAGCCTGAGGAGGAACAGGTTGAGGAGACAGGCAAGGCCAAGTCCAAAAAGAGACAACATGTTCAGGAGGAAGACCGTGAAATGCCTCCAGCCAAAGAGCCAAGGAAGAAGCAGGACTATGATGATCCAGAAAAGGCAAAGAAAAAGGCAGCCAATAGTCGCAAGTCTTCTGCTTACTGCAAAGCACGCCGAGCGGTTTTGCTTGCCGGTGGAACCGAAGAGGAAGCAAAGGAGAAGGGCAGGGCAGCAGCTTGCCATGGATTAACCTGGTCACTGGCTACTTTGGGCCTTGATCCCTCGAACAAATTCTAAGTGAAAAGCCCAACACCCTCTTCCACTTCAAAACAGATTTCTCCCTGTGATTTGCTTTTATCAGCTAGCAGTGTAACTCTATTTGACTAGAACGTATTTATCAGCCTTATGCTGAACACACTGAGACTCCCAACCAGTTGCATCCGGTGCCACTTGTGCTGGAGCCCAGGCCTACCACGCGACGCCATAGAGCCAAAGATTTTGGGGATTGCTGGTGAGGGTGCCAGTTTGGTGAACCTAGCTTAGAATGTGGCTGGTTCCCAGTATTTGGGGTGTATAGATCAATGGATCTAGGATGCAATGTAAGCTGTTTGGAAGCATGCATGTGTGTATGTGCGGGCCTACCTGCATGTCATCACGTGGCAAAAAGATCACACTTTGCGGCAGCTCTCCATAGCTGGTTCTTTGCAGATTGAGCTAGTTTCGTTGCATTACAATGTGGACTGTGGTGGACTGAGTATCTTTGGGTGGGTGGCCATGCAGGTCATGCCGGAAAGATGGGCAGCCCGCTTTGCTTCAAAGAGTGGGCCTTTCATGTTTGGTACGTGGTGCTTAGGTGCAAATTGCTTTTCTGCGGGTCTCACTTCTTGAAAGCTTGTGCTGTAGCTGTATTGTGGCTGGAGTGTTGATAGTCCTCTTGGACTTCCTTGGGATGCCGCCTGGACGGTCCACTAGCTTTGTTCCTCCGCTGGTGCAACTCCAATCCCCTAAGGCCAGTTGACTTTCAGTTGTGTGAGTGTTTGTATGTGTGCTCCATGGAGGTCTTCATAGCAATTGTCTGGACCCTACCTTTCAACCCAAACCACCAGCCTTTGTTCTTGATTGGTCAAATGGTTCTGAGGTCCTGATGCTTCAATGGATGCAACCAGTTCAACAACAGTGGCAATTCATAGAGTTGTTTAGTGGTGCTGGAAACGTGAGTACAGCATTTAGGGATCACGGTTTCAATGTTTGCAGCTATGACAAAGTCAGTGGTGGCAAGTCGATGAACTTTTCATCGGCAGCAGGATTTGCGCTGGGCTCCAAGATGCACTTTGAAGTTGCCTCAAGAACTTAATGTTTTTGATCTGGGCATTGAGGCTGGCAATCTTTATTTGCATGTGTGCAGCTGGCTGGGTTCCAAGACTTATGGAAATGGCTAGCAGCTGTAAAGTGTTGGAACTCAGGTCCTGGAGCAGCTTTGCTTCTGGCACCAGAGTGTGGATCGTGGGGCCGTGTTTGCAGAGGAACAACCATGCGGTCGATCCTTAACCCACTTGGGGTGGCGTTTGACTTCGTTTTGGATGCCAATTTGACAATATCAAGGCCTAGTTTGGATAGCTGCATTCTCACCATATATGTATGCATGCACACTGTACCTTATATTGTCAGGTGTGTATTGATTCTCATTCTGGCCGAGTCAATGCATTTGGTTTGGGTGCTAGAGCAGCCGCATGGAAGCTCTGATGTTCTATGGCTACACCCACGTATGAGTTGGTTTAGCAACGAGATTGGTTTTGCCTTAGCCTCAATGTATGACATGGTGGCAGCATATCATAATATATCGTTTTGTTTGAGGTCTTTCGTCAAGACTTCTGGATGCAGCACCATGGGTGCCCATGTCCAAAGCGGACCAGCTGTTGGGGAAATGACCCCTGGGTCATTCAAAAGCTTGCCTGGATCTCGAAAGCTACCTGCTGTATTCATGTAACACATTAATTTCCTGAGGACTGTGGAACTTTGACAAAGGAAGAGAAGGCATCCTCCACTCTAAAAACGACACGCTGGAAGCTTATAAGTCGACTTCACCATGTAC